TATATATATAATTAATACTTTAAAGTATTAATGTCTAATACTTAAAGCATCATTAAATTTTAAATGATTAATATAATTAAAATTTGAGTAAAATACATATTTGCAATTGGTTTTATGGGTTTATTTCTATTTTTCCAAGCTTATGTCTGTTTACAGTAATCTGAGATGAATATTTTTGTAATGTAATTAAAGTGTATCAACTGTGCAGACTATTTTTTAACTCATAACTTCAGTTTCTGTTTAACTATTAGATTAAAACTTTTCAAATTGAGACTTATTAATATTTAAAGTACTTAACAGATCAGTTATATAACAAGTATAAACACAAAATGTGAAATATAGAATATTCTGTAAACATAATAAATAAGCTCTCATTTTAAAAGATTTTTTTTCTTATTATTAGTGTATTAAGTGATGAATTATTTATGATATTTACAGTTTAATGTCTGTCTGTCTGAATTTAACTTATAATTGTAAGTATGAAGCTTTGTTAAATTTAAAAATGGTTTACTCTAAGTTTATTGAATTTATATTCAAAACAGGCACAAAATTTAATTGAAAAATGAATAACTTTTTAAATATTTACAGTAATAAGTAGTTTACAGAATGCTATGTATATGATATAGAAAAACTTTACTGATGGTTTTATGTAATTTAACATCTTACACATCTCATCAAGAACTGATTTTATTAATAAATTTTTAACTTTTATAATACGATTTAATTATTTTGCTCCTTGATGAAATGTTGTTAAGACAAAAGAATTTATTGCCAAAATTCCAACATTAAAAAAGTAAAGTGTTTAGGTTGAAAGAAGACTCAAGGACACGTGGATAAGCATGGAAATTACATCATTTGTTAGTGCTGACATAGAAAATAACATTTTCATCTAGGGAATTAAAAAAAATCTGCTTAAATTATTTAAGTAAAGTAGTTTTTCCTCTTTATATTTAAAAGTTAAACAAGTTTTATCGCCTGTTAACGAATGCATTCTATTACTGCATATATTAACCACAATGTAACTATCGTATTTCTGTAAAATAGCAAGTTATGAATCTATTTTTCAGAAAGAATGCATATATACAATATAAATTTTGTAAAACATTTTCTATTTTTAATTTACACGTAATTTAAACGTTTGAGAAGTGTTTCGTGTTTTAAAAACATTTAAATATTTTGCACAAATTTAAATATGAATCATTTATTTATTCTGGAATTCCCTAATTACTCTCTTTATATACACATCTGTGTCGAAATCAATCTTTTCTTTACTCTTCCTAGTTCAAGATTTCATTGAGTATATGGGCAGTGAACCTGTTTAAAAATGCTTGCGACAAATTAAGGAAATTTTATATTAGTTTTTTTCTTCATTATAAAGGCAAAATGAAGGTATTAAAATATTTTATTAGCAAATATCTTTTAAGTTTTATAAGGTTTTATAGTTTCTATAAAATACAGAATAATTTTATATCTGTTCATATATCGGCAATTTAAAAAGATAATTTAGTTTAAATTATTCTTATAAAAATCGATTTCTGCGGTGATTTTTATATCACGGTTTAATTTATCGATTATTATTATTATATGCGATATAGGAGAGATATTTTAATGCGGTTTAGAGCCACTTACAAAAAGGAATATTTAAATTAATCGGAATACATTATATAATTTAATATCATTGAATGATTTGTTCATTGCAAACTGAAGTTAAAATATTAAAGACTGACAGAGCGGTGAGATTGAGTAGACGTATTGCTGGCAAGTGTTCTAAGGACTGACAGAAATTAGGTCATTCCCAGGACAGTAAATGTCGGACTATTTCGGTATCGACGTTATATACTATATATACCTATATAATAAATAATTATATGATGTAAGATTGAATAACAATCTACAGGAAAGTAAAACTGTTGCTGAAAATGTATCAAAAAACTTCGTTACGAATATGACGGAGGTCTACCTTGATTCATATAAATAAATCTTCTCTTTAGAAAATGAATCTATATTTATCGATATCGATTTTATAATCAATGATTTTCTTTCTGTTCTTTAATAGATAATAAAGAATGGCTCATGTCTTATTACCTTGTGATATGCCAAGCTGGATCGATGTACAACGTCATTTGAGTCATTTACGTTTGGCCCGAAATCCCGATGAATTAATCGCTGGAATGCAAAAGATTTATGGTATATGTAGGTGAGTGTTTCCTTTATATATATTAATATCTTAACTATCTGAATATGAAATGCGCATATGTCATATATGCGATCGTTATAGGTATTTTTAAATATATTTTCTTTCATCCAATTGCAAAATATGAGCAACATCTTTATTTTATTTTGGTTGATTAAAAAACTCACATGAATATACAGATCATTTCTAAATCAAAATGGTAAATAAGGATATCTAATAAGGTCGTTCCTTGATATTTGACATTATAATACAGTATATCAATAAAATTAGCTTTTAATAATCGATAATTAGTCAATATTTTTTCAGCCGATTTAATTACCGATTTTCATCAAAAATTTTAATATCGAATTAAAAGTACAGCACAAATTATTACTGGTCACAATTCACATTTTGTAAAGCACATAACATTTAAAATAAAGGTAACAAAAGCACAATACATACGACTTTTCCTCCAGATGACCATCAGGCTCATCATACTGGTATAGTCTGTGTCAGATTCTCAGTTGACGATAATGCAAAACTCCTGAAAAATCACCCTGATTTATTTCCACAAATCATGGCAATGTTTTAGGAGGTTTTGAAGAGATTTCAAGTAACGAAATCAAATGTAAATTGTACCAAAAGAAGTACACCAACTTGTTTTGAATTCATTAATTCAACAAACTAAAATTAAAATTTTAAAAATCAATTCATTAATTCGAAAAAATTAGCCTCATTAACACAAATAATTCTAAGACTTCTTTCTTCCACTATATTTTCGAAACATGAATTTATGTAGTGATAAGAACATTTTCATATTTGGTTTTATGCAGTTTCATTTGAATTTACATAGCTCTTATATGTAATTTTATCTATTTAACAATGAATAGCTTAATTGTTTAGAAGGTGGAGCAAAGCAAATCATGATAGCTGATCCCGTTGGATTTCTGATTGCAAAAGAAAGGCTACCACTTTAAGCATTTCCAGCTTTAAGCATTTTGTAAAGAAAGCTTTGCTTTCATATTATAAGGAGCAATTGAAGCGAACAGACTCACGATAAGTACAATGTCTTATCAGGAACTGCAAAAGCTAAGCTCCAAGAAGCTGAGTTGCTTTGCCTCACTGATGACGTACAGATTGAAACTAATTATACATGAAATTTTCCGAGTTTTACAAAGCTATAAAAATGATTTATAAATGCAATAACTTCCGACTTTTGCCACATCACTGGCGATTGTTCTCCGAAGCATCGAAAGTTTTATCGACTCAAAATAGATTCACTCTCCAAAAGTTGGAAATGCGGATATTTATAAGTTTCTTGGAAGATTCAATGTGAAATCTTAGAAATTAGTGTGTTTCTTTTATTAGCGTATTCATGATTTTATTGTGTAACTTTTCTTATTATTAGCTTCAATAAATGCGTTTATTTGTGAAAAGCTTAAACATTACAGTCGACCCCCCTATAACACGGTAGATACGTTCCGATTTTTATAAATCCATTTTCTACGAGTCCAGCCAATCACAGCCGGCATGTATGCAGTTTACGGACTACGGCTGTTTGAAAGGTTTCTTCCATAAAATTAATCGATTCTAGACTAATTCGATTCAACATTTCCAAAATACGTATTATAATTTTTTGGGAATAATCCATATAAACTATGCTATAAACAAAAAATCGTAGGATTACTTACCGAGCGTGCACCGTTTGACCACGCCATTGCTTAAGCTTGTTTTCGTCGTGGAGCTTGTCATCGAATGGAGCTCGCGTGCTTCCTGATAAATTATTTTTTTTTGCGAAAAATTCGATGAACTTTGGAGACGTCATTAATATAAATATAATTTTTATGGATGTTAAATAATAAATGGTTTTTAGTAGGTCAGCTGCTCGTTTAAACTCAACGGTTTGTGCAATATCCGCTATTGGTCTAGATTCGACCAATCCTGTCGCGACACGAGTCGGCGATGACGTTTTACCGAATTATACGAATTTTTTTTAGCATGTTTGTACGAATACTGTCGCAATTTTTTCGCCGTGATATAGGAATCCGAACTATAGGAACCCGTGTTATAGGAACAAAATTTCAAAGGAATTGGTAGGAACAAACGAACATTACATTTTTATTTATATAGATAGATAGAAGATGATCTGCTTTAGTTCATCCTCACAGAAAAGCAAACTTTGGGCGACATACTCGTAGCGCTATCTGTTGGACATAAAAGCCTTAACTTTAGATGATATCCATTGTAGTTTTATTTAATTAATAAAAAATCTGCAGGTTTGATTAGTGGTAAACATTCCGGGGGTCATAAAGATGCTACAGTTAAAATTTGGTAACGATTGGTTCAGTACTTTTCACGGTTAGTGGTCACAAACGAAAAATACGTTGTCTCTTTATATAGTAAGTATAGATATAGATTTAGATATAATAAAGCTTATTTAATTATCTTTTATTTCAGTATCAATTTAGATCCGGATGAGATGGCCAATTCATCAGATCCTTCACGTTTTGAAGCTTTCAGATCTTACTTAACAGATTTACCTGAAACAGATAAAACGAAATTTTTTAAAATTATTTTGCCGAATTTAGTTAATAATGCTGTACGCTTGAAGATGTTAAAATCCCTTGATGGATTTCAGTTTTCATTGCAACAAGAAGGTAAAAATTAAAATCGTATATGATAATTCAATAAACTGTATAATTAAATATAATAAAATATTTTTTTAATGTTTTCAGATAAAATGATATGTATGGATCGTAAATTTGCAGCGTCATTAATAGCAAATGCATTTTTTTCAACATTCCCTAAAAGGACTTACAAAACTCATCCTACTTTACAAGATTTTAACTTCGGTGATTTCTTCGTACATCTGAAGAGGTTTTAAATTTCTCGATTTAAAAAATTAACAGTAAAATATTTCAAACGCATTTGATTGAGTTGCTTTTTGAATATTTTTCATGCTTTTTCAGCAAAATCATTATTATTTTAGGCCAGAGCAACAACAAAAATTAAGATACTTTTTATACTATTTTGAAGTTATGGATGCTGAAGAACCTATAGGAAACATTAAATTTTACCGTCAGGTAAGCCTTTGTGATATTTTAAAAATTTTGAATTACAGTTTATAGAATTTTAAATTTTTTAGTCACTACGACCGACTTTGAATCTTCCATCTTGGTTATGCAGCGAGCGTCCTTTATGTCCTCTTGTAGTAAGAACAACGGGAACTTCAGAACAAGCAGAATCATCAATATACAGAGTATAAAAAATGATTATTTATACTGAAAAGTTTTATTGAACCATTTTTTAAATAAATATTGCTTAAAATAATATATTTGTTTCTTCTTTTAGACTTGTTTCTGTAGCTCAAGACTTGGAGGAGAAGTTCTTAAGAATGGTACTAATATGGTAAGTATCAATATAATGTTATGTGAATGTTAAAAATCATATTTCTTTTTAGATTATTTTGTGATCATACTAAAATATCATTTAGGAATCAATAAATTTCTCTAGAATGCCAGAATTAATAGCAACTATGAGTTTTGTCGAATGTCTTTGCGAAAACGAAGCATTAATTGCTGAAGGCATTATAAATATAAAAGAAAGTGAATTAAATTTGGTAAAGTTAATTTTTTATTTTAAATAATATTAATATTAATATTTCAAATTAATGTGATATTAAGTTTAATAAAGAATACGTTTAAAATAATCTATATTAAATGAATAAATATTTTTGTAGTTATATACAGAAGAAGTGGATGTATGCTTGATGGACGCTAAGAATTATTCCAAACATCCATCTAGACAATTTGAGGATAGAAATTTGTTAAGAGATATGAATAAAGCTTTCATAGCTTTTAGTCAACCGTTAAGCAGGTGTAGGCCTGCTCCTGTTGGACAGAGTTTTAGTTCAAGTACTTGTCCGGAATTTAGGAATCATTCCGAATCTCCCCCAGTAGCGCCGACTCAAGATATGGGTATATTAATAACTTCAGAAATGCTCTCATTGAATGAAGTCGTTAACGAAAAGAAATGTATTACAAAACAATTTCCTGAGCCAACAAAAACTGTCAAAGTTTCTTCAAAATCAAACCAATCTAATAAACTTTCTGGAGAAATCGGGAAACATGTTTATATTCCATCCACATCCTCAGTAACTAGTCAAAATAGTGAATACATGGATACTGTAGAATCATTATCGCGGAAAGGATCTTCTATAGCTCAAAGACCTCTTGCTTTGATGAAAACTGGATCTAAAAGAGTATCAACAGAAAAAATTCCAAGGAGGCAAAGAAGCCGATCTGTTGGAGCAATACCTTCGGAGATATCTTTGGAAGAAGAATATTTCACCGCATCTGAAAGTTTTGAAGAATACGATGGTTTGTCTAAAACTCAATCAATTCTTATATAATTTCAAACAGAACATTAACCTCACTGTTGATTCTCCTTCTTTAGGTATTTTAAAGTTAAAATATAAATTTAAAGGGGTGTCTAAAAGAGATTATTTAGATGCAAGTTTTCGTCAAATTTCGGATGATTCTAGATATTCCAGATCAGATTCAATAGGTTTTGTTTTGGATGGTGCTAGCGAAGACGAAGATTCCATGCCTTTTCTTAGCAAACATGAACGGTATGAAGATTTCAGAAAAAGAATTAGGAGAAGAAGCAGAAGATTATCAAAGAAAGGTAGTCGAAGTTCTTGGTTAAGTTCCAGTGGAAGTAGTGACATGGAAGATATCATGGAAGATTCTGAACTTAGCGCTGGATCTTTAAGGCAGTCGAATTCAGAACCATCTTTATTTAGTCCGTCCATTGAAGAAAATGTCTTTTTTCCTCCAATAGCCCTACCTTTAGATACCGTTTCTATGTCTTTAGGCAAGAAAAAAGTAATGGTCACAGCATCTAATGGCCAGTTAAAAGCTTATTCTTATGACGGAGTTAAACCTAATTTGCCTGTACCGTTTAAAGTAAGATGATTATATTTCATTTACTACCGATTAGATTTAAAATCAGACTGATATTATTTTCGTTTACAGGCAAAATTTCGAACACGACGAGGCTCAGCGGGAAGTGATGAAGAAATGTTTCATTCTCTAAGAGATCCTCCCTCTTTATGGAAAGAATCTTCTAGTGAGGAAGGATCTCTAAAAGATGCCAAAGAAGATATTTTTGAACAAAAATCTTCTAGTTTTTCATCTATTCTATCAGAAAACAAGGCAAATATTAGTTTTAATAGTAATAGAAAATAGCTAGTCTAAATTTTTTTTAATAGTGTGCCTTTATTTTAATAGTCGTTGAGAGATTTTTTAATAACGAACAGCGATGGAATTCGTGCAGTGGCTACTGGTAATTGGGGTTATGAACAACAGAACTGTGACGTACAGCTAAAAGCTATCATACAATGGCTAGCTGCAAGCATGGCTAAACTTCCTTGTCTAGTTTACTACACAGAAGGAGATGCTCAGTTAACAAAAGTAAGTGTAAAAAATAACAATAAATATAATTAATGATATTCGTTTTTTACAGAATTTTCATTGTTTTGTAGTTAGAAAAAGTGATCAAACGATGCCAAAAATTGGAATGGAAGTTGGGAGACTTGGCTTGCGAAACTCTTCGGTACTGTCGTAATAGACTCTCAGGAAAAGGTGGAAATGGAAGATCGACTTCTATTTTTACCCAACTCTTGGCTGGAGATACATTTCTCAGTCAAGATTCTTTGGAATGACAAAATCTTCCCTTGTATAGAATCGATTCCATTTGCGATACGTTTTTATACGACCCTGTTTTAATGATTGTTAATAAGAATTCAGTAGATTTTCTTGTACGAAAAACAATAATTTTAAGTATTAAATTATTTTCTTTTTACAGCGTTTTTTAATAATATTAGAATTTTCACAATTTTAATAAAAATTGTAACTAGTTATACAGAGCTTTATTAGATAATTTTATATTATTTGAAAAACGATTTCATAGTTCAATTTATTTCTTTATTTGTCAAAACTATTTTTTAAACAATTAAATATTATATTTTCTTTTTTATAAATTTTATAACAAGTATATTGCATTTTGTTTGAATCAGCGAGAAAAATTTCAAATGATTTCTGTGCAGAGCTGGACAAAATATAAAAACGAATTATTTGAAGTACAAGTACCAAATACTAGTATTTATAGTTGAAATACTTTCTCCCAAATATCAAATACCTGTTGTAAGTTGACGTATTTGAAAATATTCATTACCAGAGGTATTGTGCTTGAAAATTCAAGCGTATTAATTTCTTAGTGTTTTTATTTTTCCCGACTGTTTTATATACATAACAAGGGAAAGTATTGGAATCGAGTCAAATTTGATCCTTTGAGTTTCTTGCAAATTTCCACGTTTTGAGACCACTGAACCCCAAAAAAGTAAAAAAATTTGTGGATAAGTGTGTGTTTGTGTCTATTTCGTTTAATATCTTAGAATGGGGTAAAAATTGGGAAACGAAATTTGGCATGGTAACTTGTGTATAAGGAGCATTGATGCTAGTAAATTTTAATGCTAAAAGGTCAAAGGGATGGAGAGGGAAAAAATGATCACGTGTCATATTTCGAGTGGGGTCGAACTTAATGAAGATTTAACTTCTTGTTAGCATTTACAATTTTTTAAAACTTATCTCCATCCTCAAAATTAAGCTTTTTGTCATTTTATGATAATAATAATTAAAAATATTTATAACAATGTCAGAAATGCTATCAATTTAATAGACCTATGCTATAATATATTTCTCCATAGTACTGAGAATAATTTTTCTGTATGATAATTTCTTCCTTTTTTTATCCACTTCCATCTGCCTAATTTAAGTTTTTTTTCCNAGCTGTCAATATTTTTTTATTTAATTAAAAAAAATAATTTTGAAGTTTCAATCATTATAAACACATAAAAAGTTAAATGCATCCAAAAATAAATAAATAAATGTAATCAATATAAATGAAAAACATCAGATTAGTTTTTGTATAACAATACATTCTAAATATATAGATATGTTAAACATAATTTTTGAAATGTTACTAATAATTTAAAGATATTAAACGAACTAAAATAGCATTTTTGAATGGGATTACTTTTTTCATGTTCTATTAACTTTAAAAACGGAAAATGTAAGTATTTAGAGTAAAAAACAAAATTCTGTAGATAAATATTCTTCTAACTCTTCTTAATAATCCAGAAAGGAGGCCACCAGTACTGACAGCTTCGACCCTTTTCTATTGTATGGCTTCTTCTTCCGGTTTTCTGCTTTGGAGGTTATGACACGAGGCCTCTCCTCTGCGTCTAAAAATATATTTTAAAAAATGATTATTTATCTTAAAATTTCTATTAAAGAAAAAACAAAATAGTAATTTATTAACGTTGAAATAAATGCAATTTTTCAATGAATATTTTCCTTTTACTGTTTTAATTTATCTTTAGGATAAAAAAAAAGAAAAAAAATTCGATTATAGGTTTGATTGAAAGTGGGGTTGAGCAGGTGTTTCTTGTGATACTAATTGTGCCTGTTTGTTAACTTGGAACAAATGAAGTATGGTTACGATATTGGATCACACCTGGCCATTTGAGTATTTGAGAATCTTTGTAATCAGTGGCGGATGCAAGGGGGGCAGCGGGGGTTTAAGTCTTCCTCGTTGACATAAAATATAATAAAATTTATAGGTTTTAACTTCAAAACGTTGCTTTTAAAAACATTTTTGAGGCAGATATAGTTTATCGAGCCATCCTTGTGTTAATAAAAGGCACTTTTAATTATTCAAATATTTTTCAGTTTTCCCTTTGTATACTTCTGGATGTTAATGTTTATAGTAGAATACTGATTACATCTGCTTTTAAATTAATTAATTACTTTTTCTGCTGTTATATAACAGAGGGAAGATGCTGCGATCGCAGAAAGAAAACATAATTTTCACTCCAAATTTTGGAAAAAAATATTTTATTATTATTACTATTGACTGGGGATGAATCTATATACATAAAATTATAAATTTTCATACATTTCTTAACTTTATAAGAGGATATTTCTCGGAACCATGTTCATACCGAATAGTAAATAAATGAATAAACATCAGTTATATCACTTACTGAAAACAGATGGCAGCACTAATCATTCAGCTGTATTTTATTCTAACAGACACGTGACAATAAAACTGTATTTAATATCAACAAATATTTTTNCATCCGACTTGGATTTTACACAAATTGCGAAATTATACCCCGACTTACGCGGTTATCGCTCGGTCCCACCTATCGCGTAAGTTCGGGGTATTACTGTACTCGTACTAACCGCCTCGGTCATCCGGCTGACAAATTTCTATGGTTATGAATAATTATTTATTAATAATGGTAGCCAAATAAACCGAGTTGAAAAGGAACAAGGGAAAAAAAGAATAATTATTAAAAGTCTATAGAAATAATTACGTTAAAGCACTTTTTTTTTGCCTTTCCATCTTGTGAGCACTAAGAGGACCTCTTTTACAAACCCCATTATGGGTTCGCCCACAATAGGGTGGTGAGGGACGGGAACAAATACATGTATATCGGATCGGATCGGATCACCTCCCGAAAAACTCCCTGGAGACTTTTCGAACCTCGTCTGGATTCGAACCGGGATTCCCCAAAGCGCGAGGCTACCACCTTGACCGCTCGGTCATCCGGCCGATGAATATGTTTATAACACTCATATTGTAAATATTTTTTAGAATAAAAAAATTATCTCATTAATGAAATTATTAAAATTACTATTAAAAGTAAAGTATTATTAATAATATATATATAAAATTACCATTAATATTCCCGCGAATAAAAGTAATATCAATTAATAACATAGGATGCGTTTATTACGTGCTAAAAACATTACAAAAAATTCCGGTAGGTGGCATTGTATGTAATGTGAATATGGTTGTACTTTCTTGAGTTTCCCGAATAAAAACATTAAAAGAAAATTACTAAAAGTGGTCTATTTGTAAGTAACAGTAATTAATTGATGTACTCGTTAAGTTATTCAGTATATATTCACTCTCATTATATGAAAATTAGAGTAACCGTTGTAATTCTGATAGGTTTGCTTCTACGTTTACACGTGCATTTTTATGTTGTCTTGTTAGTTTTTGTTTTCTTATGTTTCTAGATTCAGCTTCATAATAGTTACTTTAAGTTATATAATACAAATACGTAAAAACAGTTTACTTAAAAGGACATTTTCATTATATTTGTGAAATATTTGATTTAAATTTCGCTTTTTTTAAATCATTGTCTGATTAATTAACATTTAATATGTTCACATTCAACTGTTTTTGTCTACAAATCTATTGGTTAAAGTTCATTGATCGTTAATTAACACACAGGCATAGAAGCCATTTGCCTTGGATCTAATGCCATTGGCAGCTGAATTCAGCATAGTCAATAGTTGTAACTGAGCAAATGTGTTTCAGTCGTAGTTGTCACATCTGCTGAATGATGAGTGATGTATGCATTGGAACAAAAAGTAGCCATCATTAGTCAGTTTCAGATAGCGATAGGTAGCTTAAATGAACGACGCTATCAAATGTGACATCAAACTAACAAACATGTTTCAAAACGGTGCTGCTGTAGAGGGCATTCAGCAGAAAAATACTTGACAGTTCTGGAATGTTGAGTCTGCTGAACGCAGCCATTAATCAACAAAATAAAATTGCTATTATTTCATTTTAAAGCTTTAACTCACATAAAGGTTTTATTTATACAAAAATAAAAAACACAGTGATTGCTGTTTTAGAACTGTGCATATTGGTTGCTAGCAATACCCACTATGTGTGAGTTGCATGTGGCATGTACAATGTGTTGCAAAAGTGTGCATACAGAGTGAAAATTTTGAAAATAACATATTTAATTTATGTGATATTTAAGTGTATTAATAATATAAAAATAATAGTATTGCAAAAAATTTTGAAAAACATAAATATATGATTTAATAATACTATATTTCACTAAAAGTGGTATTGCAAAAATGTGAATACAAACAGTATAGAAATAAATAAAACATTTAGTTAATATTTTGTTGGTCACTTTTAGCATTTATAACAGCTTACAGGAGACGAAGCATACTTAATGCTATTTTTTCATAAAAGTCAGGTTGAAATCTTTTGCCATTCTTGTACTAAAGCCTCTTCTAAATGTTGTTTTCTTCTGATTTTAAAATTTTATAGCTTCTTTTTAAACTTTGTCTATAGATGTTCTACAGGGTTAATGTCAGGTGATTGTGAAGTCATTATTAAATGAGGAACATCATAGGCAATCCATTTATGCACAATGTTTGGGATCATTACATTGCTGAAAGTAATAATCCCTTGGTAGATTTGATTTTTCTACACTAATATAGACTATTTTTGATAAATTCAAGTAAACATGTTTACCCATTATCTGTTTAATTGCCCCCAATTTTCCTGTTCCAGCTGCTGATATACAGCCCCAATTGAACAAATTTCTACCCCCATATTTAAATTTTTCCTGCATAATCTTGGGAAGCTATCTTTCTCCTACATGCCTTCATGCATACTTTTTATGAATACTATTACAGGCATTAAATTTGCTTTCATCTTAGAAAAGTACATTTCTTTATTACCAAAAATAGTCCTATTTTTATAATAGTTTTCAAATTGTAGTTCATTTTCCTATAAATCTTTGAAATGAGGATTTTTCTAACAGTAATGCATGTGTTAATTGGGCTTTATGCAAAGTCCTGTTTATTGTAGATTTATGTACTGCAGTGCCAAAGCTGTGTTTTGAGTTACTTTAAATTAAATTGGCTCCTTGCTCACTGTATTTCTGAGAAACTTTTCTTTTGTACAGTACATTGAAGTTTTTGTGGCCAACCACTTCTTAATATATTAATCATAGAATCTTTATTATATAATAATTAATAATGCTCTGTATTGTTTAATAATGTTCTTTAATAAAGATGCTATAATATATTTCTCCATAGTACTGAGAATAATTTTTCTGTATGATAATTTCTTCCTTTTTTTATCCACTTCCATCTGCCTAATTTAAGTTTTTTTTCCAAATTTTGATCAAATTTTGATCATTATTATATTTTAAGTAGTCTAATAAAAAGTAACAATACTTACTACATTTAATTTTAAATTATCCCTTACTGTATCTTTTTGATTTCTGAAAATTATCAGTATATCTTCAAAAAACTTTTTTGTTGTATGCAGATTTTTGCAACAAGTTAGAACACAATTTATATGTTATTATCTGATGACATGCTGCTAGATGCTATTGTTAGATGATGATAGATAGTTATATGTTTTAAGTAACTACAGTATATACTATATTTTACATATTTATGTATTTTAATTACTGTAAATACTTTTATTAAAATTTATGGTATATATTTTGTCATTCACTTATTGTGTATGCACACTTGCAACACACTGTATGTATGGGCAGCAATGTGTGGGTCAGTACAGGCACAACTTAGACTGTGCTATCGATGCACTGATATGTCTATTATGTTCTATCACTGTTTTCAATATCAGCAAAATGTAACATTTGTTTATTATTGATATTTAACAGATTGATAGTTAGGTACTGTTGTTTGCTACTTTGTGTTCCTTTGTTGTCATCATTCATGCTTTTCAACAGGAACTTTACATACATGTAATTTTTTCAGGAATAATGTTGCTAAACAAAATTTATGCCAAGTATTGTATTTATTCAATCAAATTTTATTATTTAAAAATGTTAGATTGGAGACTCAAACTTTATGCTTGAACCCTTCAAATGCACAATTTGATTCTATTAACTTAACAGTAATATTATCCAAATGGTTATAGTTCATAACAATTTATAATTCCAAACAGTTATAATTCTAGATAAGAAATTTATGGGAATCCTATACTTTCACCAAAATTGGTTATGACTGTTTTCATTACAATTAGTTCAAAAAAGTTCTCTGGTTAAAACTAGTTGAAATACTGTATCTCAATCAGAGATAACCTAAGAATATTGTTTAAATGCATCTTTAAAGAGTATTAAATGTAAAAAAAAAATTCAAATTAGTATTCATTGAATTTTTCTCATTTAGATAACAGTACTTTGTATTTCTATATGGTTATAATTATGAAATATTTAAAAATATAATTGAAATGTCAATATCTTTACCTTTCATATACTATCATCCTTTTAGATTACAATAGATTTGAACGAAAAATTAAAAGTTTTGAAGGTACAACAGTAAGATGACTTTTTTTTTTTTAGTTTTCATTTTATAGTTTTAAATAATAATTATAAAAAGATGTAAGACATTTAAAATGATCTATTCTCAACATATAATAATTTTTAATTTTTATTGATATTTATTATCTTTATATTAAAAGAGCAAAAATACATAAAATATTGTGATAATAAATATTTTGTTATTCAAATAACATTGATCAGGATGTAATGAATCTGATAATCCTTTATAATAAATGCTACTAAGGATGTTCATCCTTAACTGCATTTATTCACATAAGCCACTATATTATTCACTAGCCACTATAGTTACTCAGTCGAATTAATCAATGCACCTTTTAACATTGGATGAAGTTCAAAGAAACTAACATTTTTCAGGCTTAAATAGTTGAAAGTTCAATCCTTTTCTTTTAATTTTCCACATCTGAAGTTGGTCTATCAAAAATGTTAGTGTTCTTTAAACTAGTTAATTAAAGGTGCATTGATTAATTCAGCTAATAAATATTGCTTATCTAACGTATTTTAATTAAAAATTCGGTTTTTGTTGTTCTTTTGATCTTTTATTCTTGACATAGTCCTGTCTTATATATAATAAACATACAACAACTTTTTGTTGATCTACTTATGTAATTTCTATGCTATACTTGAATAAACAGGAAAATATTAAAAATAATCAGATAATTCTTATCAATAATACTAATATACAAATGTTAATAATTTGCTATGAATAAATAAAAGACAGGAGTTAGATTCACTTAAAAGTTCTTTCTTTTAGGTACTAGTGAGGTTGCGGCCAAAATTTTCCATGCAAAAACATGAACGTCAGACGTTCAGCCTGCCTTCCTGTAAGCCTAGAAGTTTGACAATGGTGTTTGGAATGTCAGTGGAATCATGCTTAATGTTCCAAACACCATTGTCAAACTTCTAGGCTTACAGGAAAACAGCGCTGAATGTCCGACATTCATGTTTTCATGTTGATAACTTTGGCCACAACCTCACTATTATGTGAATTAATGTAAAATTCAGATTTCAAGTATTTAATTATATATTTATTATACTACATCAATAAATATTGAATGTAATTGCTGAATTTTTATTTAATCTGTTATTTTCATTGTTGCAAAATTATTTTAACTGCAATCCAAAATAATTGAAACAATAGCTAAACACACTAAACTTAGGTCTTAAATATAAATATCTCAGATTGAAATCTACACTACATTTCATGAATTATGATTGGATTGCTTGATGCATAGTAACAAAAAAAAAAGTATGTTTACATGCAAAGGGGTATAGATTTAAAGGATATGCTGTATCTAAATACAGCAGCTGCTTATTTAGAAAATATAAAAGTTAAATAAATGTTCATTTATGTTTCTACAGAAAAGGTGTTTTCATTATATGCTTGTTATTGTATAGAAAACATGTTTTAAATTTTAATTAAAAAATTAACTCATAATTTTTTTGTCATACATAAATCACTTTTATACATACATTCATAAATTTATAATTTATTTTGTATTGTCTTAAAATAATATGCAAACAATTATTTAGTTTTATAATCTCTATGTATTTTCTTTGTAAATCTTTATTCTAGCAGGAATAAATAATAATGATATTGTTAGGTGTTTATCTTCTCATTTCCATATTTTTCATTTATGTGTTTTGTCTAAATTGATTGTCGTCAGAATTGCATGAGTCTTGTTATTCTATAGTTGTTGGTAGTGAGAGGAAACATCTTGTTAA